CGTCTCTGCTAAATTCTGAGCCGTAGTAGCCACCCCATCCGTCAAAGCGGATCGCGCATGCCGCCCAGACCTACGACACAGTGAGACGCACTATGGATGCATTGCCTTTCAGACACTGTCTGGCGTGCAAGGCAAAGCTTTTGAACCATCCCCTAAGTCATGCAACGAGCAAATCTCATCCTGTTTCGAAGACCTTGCGCGACCCACCTCGTCGGTTGGAACGTATTGGGATAATAACCAAGTTGCGCCGCTCAGTATTCCCCCATCAGAGCTTGCCTCTGTAGGGGTCCTAGCGGATTCATATGGTTAGGTGAGGTGCGGCGCCGATTTGGTGGCCGGCGGCCGGGTGCCCGGGTGCCAGGGGTTGCCTGGGGGTACCCTGGTGCCCGATTTCGGTGGCCGGTGGCCAGGTGCCCGGGTGCCCGGGTGCCCGTGGGTGCCCGGGTGCCCGGGTGCTCGGGGGTGCCCGGAGGTGCCTGGGGGTGCCCGGGTACCCTATAGCCATACCCTATAGCCTTATAGCTCTATAGCCCAATAGCCCACATAGCCCATATAGCCTTATAGCCCTATAGCCCGATAGCCCTATAACCCTATAGCCCTATAGCCCTATGGCTCCATGGCCCTATGGCCCTAGAGCCCTAGAGCCCTGTAGCTCTAGAGCCTCCTAGCCCTACAGCTCTATAGCCCTATAGTTCTATAGCCCCATAGCCCTATTGTCCTATAGCCCCTATAGCCCAATAGCCCCATAGCCCTACAGCATTATACCCCTTATAGCCGTATATATAGCGCATACAGTCCTATAGCCCCATAGCCCTATAAAAATATAGTCCTATAGCCCCATAGCCCCAACAACAATCTGATTGGGTGTTTTCTCCGGTCTCATGAATAGGAATATATGTATATATATATCCTTCTCTTTATATGTGTATATATTTTTACTTTCGGAGGTCCGCGCGGATCTCGTGGGTCGGCTCCGACACCCCACCGGCGACGCGGAGGAGGAGGAGGAGGGGGAGGAGGAGGCGGAGGAGAGGGGAGGAGGGAGGAGTCGACGGGAAGGGGTGGATAGACGGGAGAGCGGGAGTGGTAAGTTTTGCTACCTCCAGCGATCCTGACCCTCGGGGGTCTGCGGGTTCCCCGGAGGTCCTCAGGGACTTCCGAACCTGAGGCCTCCAGAGGCCTCCACAGGCCCGACGAGAACCAAGCGCGTACGAAAACCTATCCCCTCGTGTGTCGAGTGTCGAGGGTCGAGGGCGACACCTGGCGGGCAGGTCCCCTAAGGGCTTGACGTCTCTTCTCCAATAAGATCGGGCCGACAGATCGAGTCAGATCTTGTTGTATACATCTAAGTGGACCCAGAGACATACATCGAGGTACATCCAGAGATGTCCTGGCACATCTGGAGAAATCGTAGTAGCTCCAGTGCGAGTCGAGGAGCAGCAGAGGTCTCATGGAGGGGACGCGTCGACTCCCACGCGTCCACTCACCGCCGAGCGGGGACCGGGTGCCCAGCCTGCCCTGGAGCACGGGGTTCTCCCGCAGGTGGCCAATCGCCGATCTATTGGCGATGCATCGCCGACTCCAAGCGTAAACGTTCCCCTCCTCCGCCCTCCTCCTCCTCCTCCTCCTCCTCCTCTTCCTCCTCCTCCACCTCCTCCTCCTTCAGCCAGGCCCCCCCTCCTATCCATCCCCCTCTCGTCGGAGGGAGGCCTCTGGCGCGCTCAGAGAGCGGGATGAGCTGGCCCCCCCCGTGGCAGGCTCCAGCACGGCCCCCCCCTCGAGGGAGGGAGGCCGCTGGCGCGCGCCAGGAGCGGGAGGAGCTGCCCTCCCGCGCAGGCTCCAGCACGGGAGCCAGGCCAGCGACGAGGCCCTGGGCTGGTGGGGCGCCGGGCGGGACGGCGGCGCCGGCAGCGTGCGGGAGGCGCTGGTGAGGGCAGGCGCCGAGGGGGGAGGACAGGGAGGAGGGGAAGGAGGAGGAGGAGGAGGAGGAGGAGGAGGAGGAGGGCGGGTAGGAGGAGGAGGAGGAGGAGGAGGAGGAGGAGGAGGAGCGAGGAGGACGAGGAGGCTGGCGAGGAGGACGAGGAGGCTGGCGAGGAGGACGAGGAGGCTGGCGAGGAGGACGAGGAGGAGCAAGAGGAGGAAGGGAGAGGACAGGAGGAGGAGGAGGAGGAGGAGGAGGAGGAGGAGGAGGAGGAGGAGGAGGAGGAGGAGGAGGAGAGGAGGATGAGGAGGAGGAGGAGGAGGAGGAGGAGGAGGAGGGAGGAGGAGAGGGAGGAGGAGGAGGCTGGCGAGGAGGACGAGGCAGATGAGGAGGAGGAGGAGGAGGAGGAGGAGGAGGAGGGGAGGAGGAACGAGGAGGAGGACGAGGAGGAGGGGATGGAGGATGATGATGATGATGATGATGATGTATGATGATGATGATGATGATGATGATGATGATGATGATGATGATGATGATGATGATGAGATGATGATTGATGATGATGATGATGATGATGATGATGATGCTGATGATGATGATGTGATGATGATGCTGATGATGAGATGATGATGGTGGGTGGTGGGTGGATGTTGATGATGATGATGATGAGAGGAGGAGGAGGAGGAGGAAGGGAGGAGGGAGAAGGAGGAGGAGGGAGGAGGAGGAGGAGGAGGCTGGCGAGGAGGACGAGCAGAGGAGGAGGAGGAGGAGGAGGAGGAGGAGGAGGAGGAGGAGGACGAGGAGGAGGACGAGGAGGCTGGCGAGGAAGTTGGCGAGGATGCAAGAGGGGCCAGCCGGGCGAGGGCAGGTGCCGAGGGCGGCGGGCGCGCTCGTCGCTGGCCCCGGCCAGGGTCGTCCGCACAGGACACCACGCGCTCGCTGCTGGAGATGGAGGAGTCGGGGCCATCGACAACACCTCCCTCCTTATTCCTACCTCTCAGCACCCCCCTCTTCGCTCCCCCCCTGGCCCCTCGCGCCTCCTTCTCCTCATCCTCCTCTTCATCCTCCTCTTCCTTCTCTTCCTCCTCTTCCTCCTCCTCCTCCTCCTCCTCCTTTGACTCCTTTGACTCCTCTTCCTCCTCCTCCTCGTTCTCCTCCTCCTCCTCCTCCTCCTCCTCCTCCTCCTCCTCCTCCCCCTCCTCGTCCTGCTCCACTCACTCCTTCTCGTGTCCATCCTCCGCCTCACCATCGCCATTATCATCCTATCCTTTCTCCTCCTCCCCCTCCTCCTTCTCCTCCTCTCTTACGCTCTGCTCTTCCTCCTTCTCCTCCTCTCCATCATCCCCCCTCATCCTGCTTACCTCATCCTCCCTTGTCTTCCTCCTCCTCCTCCTTCTCCCTGTCGCACCCCCAGACCTGTCGGTATGGCGGGCTGGGCGTTTCGCCTTAGACTTCTTCTCCATTCATTAGATTTAAGCTTGGTTTTTGTCTATATGTGTTCCCCGCTCGGTGCACGAAGGTGCTGGCTGATGTGCTTGTCGTGGTAGGACGGCCAAACCCTCTCCAGCCTGTGGGCGCCCCCTCCGCCCTGGCGGCACAGTTGGTGCCTCTGCGGTCCAGGAGGGGGCCATGGCTGCGGCTGCGAGGTCGCGAGTGCGGCCTGGCCGAGGCCCTCCTCGTTGAGCATGGCCGTCGTGAGCGCGACGTCGTCAGGCCGCGGTTGGACAGGGGGGGGGGCGCAGCGCAGGGTCTGGAGTACTGGCTCTGGTGAGCGTGGTTCTCTCCCGCAGCAGTGGCGGACCTGGGCGCCCTGTGGTCCGTGGCCTGGGCGCCGTGCTGCGGTGCGGCTGCCCGTGATGCAGCGGAGGCCTCGTGTCGGCACGAGCCTCGTGCCGAGGAGCTCGGCTCTCTTTCCAGTGCGCGGTGGTGAAGGCCCTGGCCCAGGGGCGGCGGCAGCCCGGTAGGCCAGAGCGGTCCCTTGGTCAGCAGTGTGACGGAGGAATGAGGAGGAGGAGGAGGAGGAGGAGGAGGAGGAGGAGGAGGAGGAGGAGGAGGAGGAGGAGGAGGAGGAGGAGGAGGAGTGGGCCTGATGCTCTCGTGCTCCTGCCCCTGCGTCGCGCTGCGCGCGGCTGCGAGTGTCGGTCCCGTAATCACTGCGCGGGTCGGGATTGGGTTTTGCATCGCCTGCGCCGTGGGGCGGGGTTGCGCGGGCTGCCCGCAGTGCGGACTCCCATGGCGATGGCGATCACGATGCAGAGCAGGACACTGCTCCTGCGAATGCCAGGGGTGGCGGCCGAGGTGTCTGTTGGTCCGTTGGGCGCATGGCCTGGTGGCCATGGGCTCCCAGGGGCCTGGTGGCCATGGGCTCGTGATATAGCGGCCCAGCGGGCCATGGGTGCATGGCCCGCTGGGCCGCTATCTCACGAGCCCAGGAGAGGCGCAGTAGCATACCCTTGATAGCCCCGGCCGTGCCAATGGCACCGATACGGAATTCGGGCGTGGCTTTTGCCGCGGCGACGTTTTGAGAGCGGCGGCCTTGTGACCTCGCGTGTACTTCGTTTACGGCCGTGGTGGGGCCAGCCGTCGCGGTGCGGTTGGAGGCTTCGTCGGTAAGAACTTCTCCCGTGCCAAGAGCCATGACGATGACGGACAACCAGACAACGCTGGCCGACCAGCGTGAGCCTGTCGCCGTGGGCGTCCTGGTCGTTGTCGGGACGGTCGTGGTCTCCCCGAGGCCTGGTGTTGTATTTAGAGGAGGAACTGTAGAATGAGCATTTTTCATGATTCCTCACTTGGTGGCGCTTGTGGACCTGTACATCTGTACATCCACGGCCGCCCCTTCCCTGGCAGAAGGTGGGGGGACGCTTGTATTCTGAGGTCTCCCTGGTAGAGGCGGTGGTGGTAGTCGGCAGCCGTGGTTCGCGACCAAGTGTGGCTGCGCTGTGGCTGCTGGATTTTGCGTTCGCTTGCCGCGGAGATGTGCGGCCACTGGCTGCTGCAAGCTCCCCCGTTGGTCGCTTTGGATGTCTTGCTGCATGGCGGTCGCCATGACCTCCTCGTGGAGGTGACGGACGTACGTGACCACGTAACTGAGCTCTGCGGTTCATCGAAAATGGTAGGCTCTGGTCCGTTGCGTGTTTTGCCAGGCCGTGTGAGGCAAAGCTCGTAGGCTTCCCTGTCGAAGAACTTATGTAGGTTCGCTACCACGCTGCTGGTGTCGGGTCAGCGCGTTATAGATAGGGTGTTGGAGCTCTTCCATTGCGCGGTCGATGCAGGCTTCGGGTTTCTATCCGCTCTTGAAAGGCGTCACTTTCTTGACCCCATGGCGACCATACCACAGCCGTGTTTTGCATGCGGTCGAGTAGTTGCTGACGACGCTGGTTTGTTACCCTCTGCCTCATGCAGTTTCGGCCTTGTTGGGTCCTGTAGCGGAGGCAGGCCTGTAGAAGGGCACTTGCCTCATCAGGATCCTCGATGGGATCGTCCGAGAGGCTGCCAGCGGCATCGGTCCTAGATGGGGTCGTCGCAGAGGTCTTCGGCGTCGAGGCTGGTACCCCTTGGCCGCTTGGCGTGGAGGACTGTAACTTCGAGACTGACGAACTGCTATAACTTCGAGACTTCTGTCCGTGGGCACCGTGTTGTGCTCGAGCATCGAGGGTGATTTGGGAGCCAGTTGCCCAAGGGTGGCGCGGCGCGCATGGCCCTGTGGAGCGTAAGAGCAATGTTCATGATTTATGTGTTCCGCAGTCGATGGTGTGGACAGCGCATGCTTGCCGTCGGCGTGGTGACTTCCTCGCTGTCGGAGCTGATGAATGTTCCACGGTTGGCATTCGGTTCGACTGGTGTGGGTGCAGCTGGATGAAGTGCTTACCCCACAGTTGTTTCCCCCAGTCTCAGGGTAGTTGTGTTCCGCAGAGCGTTTGTTTTGGCGGTGGATTGGTCCGTTGTTCAGGGACTATGTGGATGCCGCGAGGACAGCGCGATGCTGCTCGCTGCCAACCCTGGCGAAAGACTGTGCAGTATGACTTCCCCCTCTGCATTCGCAGCAGGAGAACTGCTGGTGGGTCGGGACTGGTTTCCCGATCCCTGGGTCGCCTCAAAACGCGCCGACGCTCAGGGTCTGGACGCGCGCGAGAACTCGCGTGGGGTCGAAGCCCAAGATGACGCCGAACCGGAGCTGGAAGGCGTTGGCGCGCTTCGGGCTTGGCGAGCGTCGCTGAGCCAAATGCTGCGGACGCCGAGCGGAAGCGCAGCCATATGAGCAAAAGCAAGCTGGGATCGCCGTCAAACCCCTGGAGAGCGCTGGCAACTAGAATCGCGAAGCGTGCTATAGCTAACCCGCGACCCCTGCCCCTGCAGGAGCCAGCCCCTGCAGGAGCCATTGAAAGATCAAAACCCTTCGTTTGGTGGGCCCTGAGCGGCCTGTGCCATGCGTGGGCCAGCGAGACAAAAGGCGCCATTGGTCTCATTCAGATCCTCCAGGACGGTTTGCTCTGAATAGACCGCGTGGATTCCTTGTTCGATTTGGTGGCATTGCTGCGCTAGGGCGGCCTGGCTGGAGGCCATGATGGCGACCGCAGTTCCAAGGCGCCTGACCCTTTCCGCAAGCTGCTTCTGGTCAGCTTCTTTCCCGCGGAGCCTCGCGTTCGCTTGGCCAGAGATGCCTTAGGTGCCGGGTTGTGATGGCCATTTCTCCTCGGAGATTTCATCGCAGCCCGTTGCCGCGTGCTGCTCGTTGGCGGACAGGGATTGCGCGTCGGCGCCTTCGATTCCGTCGGCACCGCCCCCCGCGTCGCAGTCGGATGCGTCCTTCATGGCGAGGCGGCCATCGTCGATGTATGTGGTGGTGTCCTTCTTGATGCTGCTGGTTCGTTTGCGAGAGCCCGACGCGCTTGCGATGCGCCGCTTCTTCCCTGTGGGCGGGGTGCTCGGTGGCAGTGGCGCGTTTCGACGCGGCTGCGGTTTCAGCGGGCTTCGAGGGGAAGGTCTGGTGACCGCCTTGCCCTGCAGAGGGGGTGGGTGCTAGATTAGATCGCACCCCTCCTGCGGGTGATCCCGCCGCGGGTTTCTCCGTTGCGACGGCTTCTGGTGCGACGTTCGTCGCGGGTGGTCTGGTTCGGGAGTCAGCCTGAGCAGGCGCGCGCGCCCGTCTTGCCGATGGCGCTTGGGACGATGGACCCGCAGGCATGGGCCGTCGCATTTGGAGGGGGACTGGCCGCTTTGACGATGGCGAAATCACCCCTGGTCGCTCTGTCCCGGCCGGTGCCTTGGACTTTGCAGCGCCACTTGATTGGTAACTTGCGGCATCGTGGCCAATCGCAGTTCGTTGCCTGCGACGTGCTGCATTGCGTTGGCGAGAGCAGCGCCGGTCTCGCGGAGTCCCAGAGCCATTCGCTTCGCTTCCTGGGCGTCTGCCTTTGCTCGGATGCCCACCCTTTTGCCCGCGGGATGTGCCGAACGCTTCCGTGAGCATGGTCTGGCGACCATCTGGGCACCGCGCAATGGTGTAGTCGCTAGACGGGGCCCTCTGGATCCGCGGTCGCCGGGGTCGAATGTGATGCCTCCTCTGCGCGGGGAGAATCAGAGGGACGCCGGCTGGCTGAATCCCGAAGGTAGCCGTGAGCCTACCGTTGTGCCGCGGCGCCCTATGAGCTCCAGGGTTTCTAGTGATTGCACGGTGCCGAAGTGGGACGTGAACACGGCCGCGAACGCTTCAGTATCAAGCTGGTTGCGTGAGGCGTCCTTCTCGGTTGATGCGTGGCATTCTTTCGCCTTTTGCTGCGCCGTCCCTGGCCCAACTGGGTAGTGGTTGCCATTGTCAGGTGCAGCTCCTGAGAACTGTGCCGTGAACAGTTCTTCGAGCGCTGGCGCGACCGCGATGGCATTCGCCTCGCAGGTGGCGGCGCGGATCCAGACGACGCTGTCAGCTGGGGCGAGAGTAAGTTGGACAACGTTTTGGAGGCACTTGACCTCCTCCCGCCCGAGTTGGTAGATGGTCCCTAAGATGTGTTCTGGCGTGGGCTTGGTAGCCTTGGCCGTGCGACGAAGCACTGGTCTTCGGCTCTCTTTGCTTGTGTAGTCCGTGTTGACGGGCCCTGGTACTGCGAGCGTTAGAACTTTGTCCTGTGTGCAGATCTGCTGTAGCAAGCGGCTGCCTCACCCTCCTTTTCGGGCGAGGAGGTAGGGGGGATGTCGCAGTGGCTTGCATCCATTCTGATCAGAGGGGCCTTGCCTACCTGGCGGACATCGGCGTCGACCGTGGTCCGTACTGGAGGTGTGTCGCGGTCTTTGGTTTTTTTGGTGCGTGAGGGAATGGTGAAGCATGGTGTGGCTGATTTTGCTTTTCCCGCGCAGTCACATTTGCTCGCCCCTGAGCTTGCATGTTTGGCAGCGGCATTGCTGGTACATGGTATCAACATCAGTTTGGTTACTGTGAACGACTTCGTTGTGTGCAGCGGCTGTTCGGTCGACGCCACCACTGTCCTGCAGTGCGGCGACGCAGGCTTCCTACCGATGAGGGGGGCGACGGGAGGAGGAAGGCGGGGTACAGGAGGATATGGAGAGGGAAGGGGAGAGGGACATCGAAGGAGGAGGGGGAGGAGGAGGAGGAAGAACAGCAGGAGGAGCAGGAGGTGGATGAATATATGCAGGACAAAAAAGGGGCAGAGAGCGAGGAGGAGAGCGAGAAGGAGAGTGAGGAGAAGAAGGGGGGGGTGACGGAAGAGGAGGCGGAGGAGGAGGTGGAGGAGGAGGCCCCCCAAGGACATCAGCGGTCGGGACAGCGCCCCTGGCGCCTCCAGCGGGCAGGAGCCCTTCGCGCGGCGGACAGGGGAGGGGGGGGGGGGGGTAGGAGCGCTCGCGCGCTGAGCTCCAGAGAGGCCAGAGGAGAATGGCCCATGGAGAAGATCGGGCTGACCCTCATCAGATGGAAAGGGCCCACCTTGCAGGTTCGGTTCGCACCTTCTCCCCCTCCCCCTCCTCCTTCTCCTCCCCCTCCTCCTCCTCCTCCTCCTCCTCCTCCTCCTCCTCCTACTCATTTTGTTGCGTGGTGCCCCCGCCCCCTCTGATCATAGGGCCTCGTCCGAGCTGCAGCCAGACTGGTCGGGTTTGCACCGTCGTGCCTTGCTGAAGTCCGGGCGCGAGGAGGCAGAGCGAGGAGGCGCGAGCGGGGGGGGGTCGAGGGGAGACGGGTGGGGGGGGTGCAGGGCGTGGGAGTGGGGCGAGGAGGGGGCCGCGGGAGGAGGAGCGCGAGGGGGCAGCAGCAGGTCCAAGGTTGGGAGGAGGAGGGAGGCTGTGCAGTCTGGGGGGCCTCTCACCCCCCCACCCCTGCTGCCACCTCCCTGCCTCGGCCTCCAGAGCCCCAGCCTGTTTTTGTTGGGGGGCTGCGGCCGCCAGCCACGAAGGACTCGCAGCAAGTGTTCCAGGCGGGGCAGTACTGGGCGCAGTCCCGCGACTTCTACATGCCCGCGGGGAACTCGCAGAGGCGGGGGAGGGAGGAAGAAGGCGAACGCGGGAGGTCGACGGAACGGTGTCCGCAAGTCTTCGCAGGTTCCCGACAAATTCGGATCTCGGGCGGGATGCTTTCCACCATCTGCGCCCTGCCGAGGGCGCTCTGTGAGTGCCCGGAGCGTCCCCGGCGGCCGCTGGAGACGCGAGCTGCGGTCGGGAGCGTCTGCTCAGCGTCTCGGGCCGCCCCGCTCTGTCCCACCGCGCGAGCCTCACTACTGTCCCGAGCTCCTCCCCGCCCCAACGGAGCGGAGCAGCACGCCTTCCGCTCGCGGGGCATGGCGCGTCGCAGGGGCCGCCGCCCCAAGACAGGAGGAGGAGGCGGAGGAGGAGGAGGAGGAGGCGGAGGAGGAGGAGGAGGAGGAGGAGGAGGCGGAGGCGGAGGAGGAGGACACTCAGCAACAGCTCCCGACGCCTTGGCCCGAGCGCCAGACCTCCGCGCGCCGTGTACAGGAGTCACCTTGCCATCGCTCGGACGTGTGCATGTTTTCTCGGCGAGAACCGTCGAGGGCGATCCTGGACCATCGAGCCAACAAAAACACGCACGAAACCGAAAAATGCACGGGAAATGGACGTCCGAGCGATGGCGAGTCACGGCGGAGCGTTCTGGGGCCATGCCTGCTCGGCCTCGCGGAGAGGCAGCTCCGGGCCCTGTCGGAGCCGCCGCCAGAGAGGGCGGCGGCTCGGGGCGAGAGGGAAGTCCTGGGGCGTGGAGAGGCCTCCGGGGGGTCCACGCCGTCGGAGCCCAGATCTCCGACGACAAGGGCTCCCTCGAGGGCGCGAAGTTATTCGCGCTTCGCGCTTCGCGGTCCTCGTTCCTTCTCCCCCTCCTCCTCGTCCTCCTATTCTCCCTTTGGGAGGGCGGCGCGAGAGCGCGAAGTTATTCGCGCTTCGCGCTTCGCGCAGCGCGAAGCGCGAAGTTGGGAGCTGACGATGTGATGCGGTCCATCCCGGCGTTTCTCACAGATGTTGGTCCCTGGGGCTTCCGTTCGGGCCCCACGACCTTCAAAAACGGATCCAGGGCGAAAAAATGGTCCCAGGGAGGGTGCGGGGGGACCTCTGGGGCCGCGCAGTTACAAAATATCACATCGTTGGATGTATGGTGTGCGTGTGCCCTTGTGGGTTCAGTCTTCTCCGTCTCCCGCTGCGGAGGTACGCCGAGGGCTAGAATTCTCGCACATGGGGTGTCGCTCCAGCAGCTCTAGAAATCCATAAGACATTTGAGGTCGTTGTGATAGCATGCGTGCGACATCCCAGCATCGTTAGGCCTGTCTCCATCCCTGCTGGCTGAGCCTTGACCCCGCTGGCCGATGTGCACGCCCGGGTAAGGATATATGAGATATGCTACCACCCTCGAGTCTCGTGGCATCCACGAGACGCCGTAGGATGTCGACAGGTCGGCAGCGAGAGTGCCCCCAGAGTTCCTATGGCAGGACGTCCTGCTCTGTGCATCTGATGTAGGTCCAGGCATCCGACGAGGTGAGTTTTTCAATGCGCGGCCCCAGGAATCCCGACGCCTTCCCCCGGAGCAGTTCTCGGCCCGGATCCGTTTTTGATTGTCCTGGGGCCCGATGGAGGGCCCCAGAGGCGACATCGATGAGAAACCCCGGCGATGAAAAGATCACAACGTCGGAGACCTGGGGAGGTCACGATGCTGAGCATCACCGGGCCGAGCCTTGAAGCCACGCGTTCCAGGCGGCTGGCCTCCAAGTGTGGCCCTCGGGACCGCTTTGCCCGGGGGCTGCGCCGCCGCGTGCTACGGGACGCTCAGCCGAATCCGCCCCCCTTCGCTCGCCTTCTCCGCCCACGAGGAAGGGAGGGGGGGAGGGGGGGAGGGATGGGGAGGGGAACACGGAGGGGGGGAGGGAGGAGGAGGGGACGACGACGACGACGACGACGACGACGACGACGACGACGACGACGACGACGACTTTGTGGGTGGCGGGAGGCAAGAAGGACGACGACGACGACGACGACGAGGACGGTGACAAGGCGGTTGGGGGGTGAGGCGAGGAGCCGGCCCAGCTCGCCCGCCCCTCTCTGGCCTGGCGGCCCCCCGACGCTCCCCCCACCTCTCCTGGAGGTACGTGACCCCCGCGGGCGATCTCATCGACCCCGCCCAGCTGACCTTCGACGTCAGCGCGCCCTGGCTCCGGGACGGGCAGGCTGCCATTGGCCGCCGCGGGAGCGCCGGGAGCTGGGCAGCATCGAGGATGATCGAGCAGTCCAGGTCCCCCCCTCGGGGGCGCGAAGGTAAGCGCGCTTCGCCCACGGCCCGGCGATGCGCGAGACCTGTAGAGGATGTCCCCAGACCGGACCTGCTCGGTTCCGGATGGAAAAATCACGACCAGAGAATTTGTGGTCGTTTTCAGCTTCCGGAAATGGGACACTCCGGAAAGGGGGGCATTCCGGAAATGGGCTCGGATTGAAAAACCATTCCTGGGACCTGTAGCCCATGCAGGGGGTGGCACCTGTAGTCCGGAAAGGGAGCGCATGGGGTACCTGTAGTCCAGTGGGGGGTCCACGCACGCACGCACGCACGCACGCACGCACGAACACACCCACCCACACACACACATACACACACACACACGCACGCACGCACGCACACACGCACGCACGCATGCACGAACGCACGCACGCACGCACGCACGCACGCACGCACGCACGCACGAACACACACACACACATAAACACAAGCACAAACACTAACACAAGCACAAACACTAACACAAACACTAACACAAACACAAACACAAACACAAACACAAACACACACACAAACACAAACACAAACACAAACACGAACACGAACACGAACACGAACACGAACACAAACACAAACACAAACACAAACACAAACACAAACACACACACACACAAACACACACACACAAACACATTCTGTGTCTCTCAATAGTTCTGGGGGGTACTTGTAGTCCGGGGGGGGTACCTGTAATTAGTCTAGGGGGGGGCTACCCATAGTCTGGGGTGGGGTACCTGCCTGTAGCCCGGGGGGGGGGGTACCTGTAGTCCGCGGGAGGGGTACCTGTAGTCCGAGGAGAGGGTACCTGTAGTCTGCGGGAGGGACACAGCAGGGAGCTCGATGTTCCCAGACCTTGTCGCGTCGTGCAAAGAATCACGACGAAGCATTTGTTATAGAGTTAAATCGGGCACGTCCCTGTACAGGAGGAAAATTCAAACATAGTAAAACCCATACCCAGGGGACGCTATTTTTGACCATGTTTGACTATGCTCTTCGACAATTTTTCAGTTTTTCGTCAAACAGGCCTGTAGGAGGACATGCGCGAGCTAAGCCGAGGAGTTTTCTGCCTCGGGCTCCCGCGCCTGGTCCCCAGGACCGGTCAAACAGCGACTCAGGGTGAAGCCTGGTCCAGGGGAGGTAGTTGGTCTAGACGTCTGGGGTGCCCACGTTGTGAAAACCTACGACGTCGGAGGCCTTGGCTTGGAGGAGGAGGACCGAGGAGGAGGAGGAGGAGGAGGAGGAGGAGGAGGAGGAGGAGGACGAGGAGGAGGAGGAGGAGGAGAGGGGGGAGGAGGAGGCGAGGAGGAGGAGGACCGAGGAGGAGGACCGAGGACGAGGAGGAGGAGGAGGACCGATGAGGAGGACCGATGATGGGGAGGAGGAGGAAGAGGAGGAGGAGGATGACCGAGGAGGAGGAGGAGGTTCCCCGACCTCGACCCTGTGTGAAATTTGGGCCGTGCTTCAGGCCGTCAAGCACCCTGTCGGCCTCGAGGATCCCATGAGATACATTAAGCAGACTGCTGACGGGCTCCTCAAAGGGAGAGCCGATTATGTTGATCAGACCACGGCACATCTCTGGCGATAGATGAAAAATGCCCTGGACGACCAGGGATTGGTGCCTGGTGAATCTCAGCTTTGGGTTGAAATTGAGTCCCACATGACTGCTCCTCAGCGACGGCCCCTGGGACCCCTGGGGCCCGCCACTATCTCATGAATCAGGCGGCGGACGAGCGCGCGAAGGAAGGGGTTGAGCCCACTGCCCCTCCGCATTGTGAAGTAGAAAGTACGTAGAGCAAGCGAGCACCGCCTGCAAGGCGCAGCGCTTGATCCCCAGGTGTATAAGCAGTTTCCGAGTCGAGCTCGGCAGCAGGAAGGTTGTGACCACCTCTCTCCCGCCCTGCCGGTCTCGGGGATGTGAACGTGGTCGCCGCCTAACTGCTGCTCGCGATGCGGTCCTTGTCACCGGTTCAAGCTCCTCGACGGAGGCCAGGGTCAGCGGTGTGGGTGCACTAGGCTTGTCAAGTTTGCCGCCAGACTCGCTCCAGCGAAGCATGAAACCTGTCCTGGCGGGGGGGGGTGCTACTGCCTCCAAGGGGAACTTCATCCCTAAGCGATCCTCGCTCGGGAGTGTGCGTCCGACGTTCAGTTTTTCCTGATCCCACTCCCTGAGCGACCCTCGTTCGGGAAAGGGGTCCTTGGCCAAGCTGGTGGAAAACACACACACACACACACACACACACACACACACACACACACACACACACACACACACACACACACACACACACACACACACAACACACACACACAAAACACACACAAAACAAAACACACACAGTGTGTAAACACACACACAGTGTGCGTGTGTGTGTGTTTTCCCCCACAGTGTGTGTGTGTGCTTATGTGTGTTTTCTTTGTGTGTTGTTTGTGTGTTGTTTGTGTGTTTTTCGAGTGTTTTCTGTATGCTTTTTTTTTGTGTGTGTGTGTGTGTTTTATTGTGTGTTTTTCCTCATCCCACTCCCTGAGCGACCCTCGTTCGGAAAAGGAGTCCTTGGCCAAGCTGGCGTGCGGTTCAGACGCCCGCCTGCGCAGCCGCCCAGTCAAAGAGGAAAAACGTCCAGGATCGGAGAGATCGCTCGACTGGGCAGGGGGAGGATCGCGGATCAAGGTTTTTGCGTTTAGTGGATGTTTCTGGTGCGGAGGTGGAGGAAGAGGAGGAGAAGGAGGAGCAGGAGGAGAGCAAGGAGGAGAGTGAGGAGAAGGATGATGATGATGATGATGATGATGATGATGATGATGATGATGATGATGATGAGGAGGAGGAGGAGGAGGAGGAGGAGGAGGAGGAGGAGGAGGAGGAGGAGGAGGAGGAGGAGGAAGGAAAGGAGGATAAACAGGTTGGAGTGCAGGACGAGGAGGAAGGAGGCAGGAGGGAGGAGTGATAGAGAGGGAGGGAGGATGTACGGGATGGAGGGATGGGAGGACGGAGCTTACCAGGAGATAGGAGAGATGCAAAGAGCAGGTGGGGTTGGACGAGCGTGCCGTCTCGCACGCGGCGCACTTCACTGCGCCACTGTCGCTTGTAAGGATTTTGCAGGGGAGCTCCTTCGAGTTGTGCCGGAGTGCTTTCGGCGATCATCCTGCTGCCAGCGCTGATGCCAGGATGCCAGGAAGTTCAGTCCGAGCGTGCGGGCTCGGAGCTAGCACACTCTGCAGTGCGAGCGTTTTTTTTTTTTTTTTTCTCGACGAGCCTCCCGCTGCAGGCACCCGTGCCTCCCCCCTCCCGTGCCATTCCGCTGCCCCCTCCTGTGAGCTTCGTGGACGTGCCGGCCTCTGTCCACGGCACTTCACGCTGTCAGCATTGCTGCCAAGACGCGCGCGCGAAGTGCGCCGGCTCGCAGGAACAGCGCATCGAATTACCAGTGTTGCCAGCAGGAAACTGCGAGCGTGCCTGCTCGCACGTCGAAGCTCTTCGCATTGCCAAAGATCTCGCGGGAAGTTTGTTCCAAGCGTGCCGCTCGCGTTCGGCGATCATTCCGCTGCCAGCGCTGCTGTCAGGAAGTGCAGTCATAGCGTGCCGTCTCGCTTCTGACGCGCTTGCCCTTGTCTGCAAGGGTTGGCACCGCAATGCCTCGATAAGCAACCCTTTACCTCCTTCCATACCAGCATTGTTTTCCTGCTGGGAATGCAGCGCTGGCTTCGCTGCTAGCAGCACAAACGCACCGTCATCACGCACGGCGCACGGCGTAGCGCCCCTCTGGTGCAACGTTTCTGTATTTGGTCCAGCTGCGGGCGAGTTCCAATCAGATCGTCAGGCATCCGCTGCTGTGGCTCGAGGGAGGGGTGCCCAGCAGCGGGTGGGCTGGCGGGGCCGCCCAGGGGAGCAGCGCGAGACGCCCACAGCCATGGCCGGGTCCAACCCGGCGCGGCCCGCGGCCGGCGCAGGGAAGGCGGGAAGCGCCGCCGCCGAGGGCCCGCCCGCCGAAGAGGGCCTCAAGGCGCTGCGCGAGCGGGCGGCGGCGCTGCGCAGGGAGCTGCAGGCCGTCGAGGCACAGATCTCCATCGAGGAGGGGAAGCCGGCCACGGCGGTGCCGAACGCCGCGGCGCTGGCCGCAGCGTGCCCGCCCTCTGCCCCTGCGCAGATGCACCACCGGCCGAGCTGGTCGATCCTGGGCGGGCTGGACGACTCTTCCGCGCAACTGCGGGTGCTCGGCCCAGACGACAAGGACTTCGCGGCGGTTCTCAGTGACCACCCGGAGCTCAAGATCGAGCCAATCGGCGGCTTCAACCATTGGGACAGGCGAGAGTGCGCTGTGCAGAACGGGGACCAGTGGCGGGCCCGCTGCAAGAGGTACATTGCCGATCTCGGCGGGAAGGCCGACATCCCCAAGGTGATCCACCAGATCTGGATCGGGCCCCGCGAGCCGCCCTGCCTCTGGATAGACACCTTCCGGGTGAACTACTGCGAGGAGCACTCCGCGTGGGGCTTTGAGATGTGGAGCGACGAGCAGGTCGCCAAGCTGCCGATGATCAACGCCTCCATCTACGCCGAGGAGAGGATGTGGCAGTGCAAGGCCGACATCCTGCGGCTGGAGTTCCTCTGGCACTACGGAGGCCTGTACGTCGACGCTGACATGGTATCTGTGGGCAACAAGAGCTTGGATCCGATCGTCGAGCTGGGCAAGGAGACGGGCTTCGTCATAGCGTACGAGCCAGACACCAAGGACAAGCCCTATTCCATCCTGGGGAACTCCGTTATCGCATGCACACCGCATCACCCGCTCACGCTGATGCTCATCCTGTTCCTGAAGCAGACCTACCACCAGAAGCGCCACGTCATCGACGTGTTCGCGGTGACGGGACCGGTGATGTACACCAAGTGCCTCGTGGACTGCGACATGCCCATCTCCATCGCGGCACAGGAGCTGCTCTACCCAGCGTTCCACTTCGTGCCCAACCCAGACGCTATCGATTACTCCCGCTTCCCGAAGTGTTTGATGTTCCAGTTCGGCTACACGTGCTCCGGGCTCGAGGGCTACGTGAAGCGCAGGAACCGCTGCCGGAAGCCGAGCACCTGCCCCTTCCACGCCAAGAAGCAGTCGCTCGACTCGTACCGGAGGCTTCCCAACATAGGCCGGCCACGCGCAGAGGGGGGTAGGGGGAGGGGGCAAGGCTTCTCAGAAGCAGCCCTGCTTCTAAGAAGCCTTCCCCTCTCCCCCTACCCCCGTGTTCGCGCCGTCAAGTAGGCGATGCCGAGCTCTGTGCGACAGTGCCCATCGGCCTCTCGCACATGCTGGAGTTCGTCGCAGGCTCCTCCGGCAGCCTGCAGACGGACGGCGGCGTCGCGGCCGTCGTGACCGACGGCGACGTGATGCAGGCGCCGCGCCTGCGGGCCGAGCTGCCGGGCTTCGTCGACCAGCTGCGGGGGAAGGACTGGGACCTCATGCTCTTCGGGATCGAGTGGTCTACCGGCTCCGACGAGGTGGTGATGTTCAACGTTCCTGCCGGCGGCAGGCCGCGTAACTGCACGGCCTTCGGGCTTCTCCTCAACACCGAGAAGGTGCGCGCGAAACCCGCTCTGCAGAGGGCGTTGGAGTCGTGTGTCACCGACAAGGGCTTTGACGCGGGACCCATCTTTGAGGCGGCGGGACAGATTTCCCTATGGTTCGCCGCCGAGAAGTACGCGACCTCCATGGAGGAGGCGCGCATCTGGAGAAGCATACCCATCGTGCGCCGGGTGTTCAAGGAGCACGCAGGACATGAGCCGCCTGTGCACGTGGAAAGGACAGAAGTCCACGGCAACCTTTGCAAGGGTATCGAAGACGCCTACGGCAAATCACCGCCACACCCTGCCTTTTTGGAAGTGCCTGCGTGGCCGAAAGTTGGGTTTGAGCTTGGCCAAGCTATCGGACCACGCGTTCCCCGAGCGGGTTTCGAAAGCCTGCGGGGAACACCGAGTCGGGCGAGCTATCAGACCAGGAGGTTTCCGAGCTTTCGGGCCTCCTGGATGACGTCTTAGAGGGGTCTTAGGCCGTCTTGGAGGCCTGCGGCGGGCCTATAGGGCCGTCCTAGGCCATCTTGAGGCCATCTTGGTCGTCTTGGGGACCTTTTGGGCCGTCTTGGGGCCTTCTTGGGGCCGTCTTGGGAACCTCCTGGGCTGTCATAGGGGCCATCTTGGAGGTCTCGTGAGCGCTCTTGGGACGATGTTGGGGGCCTCTTGGGCCGTCGGAGAGCTGAAAAGAAGAAAATGCAAAAACCATTTAAACACCATAGGGAAATCAATGGTTTTGGCCCTTTCGGACCTTCCTGGAAGACGTCTTGGAGGGCTCTTGGGCCGTTTTGGAGGCCGTCTTGGGCCATCTTGAGGCCATCTTGAGCCGTCTTGGGTACATCTTCGGGCCATCTTAGCCGTCTTGACGGCCATCTTGGGAGTTTTGGAGGCATCGTGGAGGCCATCTTGGCCGTCTTGGAGGCCATCTTGGGCGTCTTGGGGACCTCTTGGGCCGTCTGGGGGCCTTCTTACGGCCTTCTTCGGGGCCTCTTGGGCTGTCATGGGGCCATCTTGGAGGCCTCTTGGGCGCTCTTGGGTCGATGTTTGGGGCCGCTTGAGGGGCCTTCTGGGCAGTCTTAGGCCATTTTGAGGCCATCTTAGGCCGTCTTGGGTGCATCTTGGGGCTGTCTTGGAGGCCATGACGGGGTCTTGGAGGCATGTTGGAGGCCATCTTGGCAATCTTGGAGACAATCTCGGGCTGCTTAGGGGCCTCTTTGGCCGTCTTGGGGCCTTCTTGGGCCGTCTTGGGGGCCTCTTGGGCCGTCCTGGGGCCATCTTGGCGGCCTAGTGGGCGATCTTGGGGCGATCTTGGGGGCCTCTTGGGCCGTCGGAATGCCGAGAAGAAGCTAATGCCACAATCCTTCGAACACTCATGGAAAACCAATGATTTTGGCCTCATCGGGCCCTCCTGGAGGACCTCTTGGAGACCTCTTGGGTTGTGTTGGGCCGTCTTGGAGGCTTCTTGGGCGAACTTGGAGGTATCTTGGACTCTCTTGGGCCGTCTTTGAAGCCGTCTTGGACCATCTTGGGCGGACTTGGATGCCATCTTGGACCATCTTGGAGGCCATCTTGGGCCAAATTTGCCATCATGGAGGCCATCTAGAGCCGTCTTGGGGGATTTTTCGGGATTGGGATCCCTTTCGGGTGGCCGGCGGGACGGGCCGCAGCCTCAGGGGGAGTTCTTTTGGAAAAGGAACCGAAACCAAAACCGAAAGGGTTCAGCACGCCAGGCACCCCTGTGATGAATCAACAGGGCGAATCACCGCCGCCCCCTGCCTTTTTGGAAGCGCCTATGTGGCCGAACGTTGAGGTCAGACCTGCCAAGCTATCGGACCATGTCTTCCCCGAGACGGTTTGGAAAGCCTTCGGGGAACACGTGGGCATCTTGAATGTCATCTTTAGCCGCCTGGAGGCCATTTTGACCCTTTCGGGCCTTCTTGGGGGACGTCTTGGAGGGCTCTTGGGCCGTCTTGGAGGCCATCTAGAGCGTCTTGGAGGCCTCTTGGGCCGTCTTGGGGGCCTCTTGGGGTCGTCTTGGGCCTCTTGGGCGATCTTTGGGGGCACTTGGGCCGTATCGGGCCGTCGGGAGGCCGAGACAAGGCAATTGCCACAATCCTTCAAAAACTCGTGGGAAATCAATGATTTTGGTATTTTCCGGCCTTCCTGGAGGCCCTCTTGGAGGCCTCTTGGGCCGTCTTGGACCATCTTAGTACCATCTTCGGCCGTCTTGGTGGGCCCCTGGCCCGTCCGACGCCGTCGGAAGCCGTTTGGGGGGCCTCTCTGGGTCGACTTGAGGCCCTCTTGGAGTGCTCCAGGGCCGCCTTGGAGGCCATTTGGGGCGCTTAAAGCCTCCTGGGCCGTTTTGGGGCCCTCTTGGGGCCGTCTTGGGGGCCTCTTGGGCCGTTCTGGGGCCCTCTTGGGTGCCTCTTGGGCGATCTTTGGGCGATCTTTGAGGGCTCTTAGGCAGTATCGGGCCGCTGGAAGGCCGAAACGAAGCAAATGTCAAAATTCGTCAAAAAAACCTGAGGACAATCCATGTTTTTGGCCTTTCTGGCATTCCTGGAGGCCCTCTTGGAGGCCTCTTGGGGGCCTCTTGGGCCAGCTTCGAGCCAACTTCGGCCATCTTGGTGGGCTCCTGGCCCTTCTGACGCCGTCGGAAGCCGTTTGGGTGGCCTTTTCGGGCCCTCCTGGAGGACCTCTTGGAGGCCTCTTGGGTCGTCTTGGGCCGTCTTGGAGGCTTCTTGGGCGACCTTGGAGGTATCTTGGATTCTCTTGGGCCGTCTTGGAGGCCGTTTTGGACCATCTTGGGCGGACTTACTTGGATGCCATCTTGGACCATTTTGGATACCATCGGAGGCCATCGGAGGCCATCGGAGGCCATCTTGGACGCCATCTTGAGCCGTCTTGGAGGATTTTTTTTGGACGTTGGGGTCCTGGACAATCCTCCCGGGACCCCGGCGGGACGGGCCGAAGCGCCAGGGGGAGTTCTTCTGGAAAAAGAACCAAAACCAAAACCGAAAGGATCCAGCACGCCAGGCACCCCTGCAATGAATCGACAGGGGGCGGCGGATCGAAGACGCCTACGGCGAATCACCGCCGCCCCCTGTCTTTTTGGAAGCGCCTATGTGGCCGAACGTTGAGGCCAGACCTGCCAAGCCATCGGACCATGTGTTTCCCGAATCGGTTTGGAAAGCCTTCGGGGAACACGTGGGCATCTTGAAGGTCATCTTGGCCGTCATGGAGGCCTCAGGTCATCTTGGCTGTCTTGGAGGCCTCTTGGGCGATCTTTCGGCCATCTTTGGGGGCTCTTGGGCCGTCTCGGGCCGTCGGAAGGCCGAAAAGAAGGAAATGTCAAAATCCGTCAAAAACCTACGGAAAATCTAGGTTGTTGGCCTCTTCTGGCCTTCCTGGAGGCCCTCTTGGGGGCCTCTTGGGCCGTCTTGGGCCAGCTTCGAGCCAACTTCGGCCATCTTGGTGGGTTCCTGGCACGTCTGACGCCGTCGGGAGCCGTTTGGGGGGCCTCTGTGGGCCGACTTGGGGCCCTCTTGGAATGCTCCAGGGCCGTCTTGGAGGCCATCTTGGGCGTCTTGGAGGCAATCTTGGGCGTGTTGGAGGCCTCTTGGGCAGTCTTGGGGCCCTCTTGGGGCCATCTTGGAGGCCACTTGGGCCGTCATGGGGCCCTCTTGGGTGCCTCTTAGGCGATCTTGGGGGCTTCTTGGGCCGTCTTGAGCCGTCGGAATGCCGAGAAGAAGCAAATTCCCAAATCCTTCAAAAACCGAAGGAAAATAAATTATTGTGGCCTCTTCGGGCCCTCCTGGAGGACCTCTTGGAGGCCCCTTGGGCCGTCTGGGAGGCCTCTGGGGGGCTTCTTGGGCCGTCTTGGGCCGTCTTGGAATCTCTTGGGCCGTCTTGGAGGCCGTCTTGGACCATCTCGGACTTGGAGGCCATCTTGGGCCATCTTCGCGATTTGTTGAGGATGTCCCGAGCGAAGCGGCCGTTTTAGGGAGGATTTTTTCCGGAGTTTGGGGTCCTGGGCAATCCTCCCGGGACCCCGGCGGGACGGGCCGAAACCCATTGGGAGAGCTCTTCTGGAAAAAGAACCAAAACCAAAACCGAAAGATCCAGGACGCCAGGCACCCCTGCGATGAATCGACAGGGGGCGGCGGATCGAAGACGCCTACGGCGAATCACCGCCGCCCCCTGTCTTTTTGGAAGCGCCTATGTGGCCGAACGTTGAGGCCAGACCTGCCAAGCCATCGGACCATGTGTTCCCCGAATCGGTTTGGAAAGCCTTCGGGGAACACGCGGGCATCTTGAAGGTCATCTGGGCCGTCTGAAGGCCATTTTGACCCTTTCGGGCCTTCTTGGGGGACGTCTTGGAGGGCTCTTGGACCGTCTTGGAGGCCATCTTGAGCGTCTTGGAGACCTCTTGGGCCGTCTTGGGGGCCTCTTGGTGCCCTGTCTTGGGGGCACTTGGGCCGTCTCGGGCCGTCGGAAGGCAGAAAAAGAGCAAAGGCCACAATCCTCCAAAAACCCACGGGAAATAAATGATTTTGGCCTGGATGCCCTCTTGGATGCCGTCTTGGGCCATCTTAGGGCCATGTTCGGCCGTCTTGGTGGGCTCCTGGTCCGTCTGACGCCGTCGGAAGGCGTTGGGGGGGGCCTCTCTGGGCCGACTTGGGGCCCTCCTGGAATGCTCCAGGGCCGTCTTGGCGGCAATCTTGGCCGTCTTAGAGGCCTCTTGGGCCCGTCTTGGGGGCCTCTTGGGGCCGTCTTGGGGCCCTCTTGGGCCGTTCTGGGGCCATCTTGAAGGCCTCTTGGGCGATCTTTCGGCGATCTTTGGGGGCTCTTGGGCCGTCTCGGGCCGTCGGAAGGCCGAAAAGAAGGAAATGTCAACATCCGTCAAAAAAACCTGAGGACAATCCATGTTTTTGGCCTTTCTGGCATTCCTGGAGGCCCTCTTGGAGGCCTCTTGGGGGCCTCTTGGGCCAGCTTCGAGCCAACTTCGGCCATCTTGGTGGGCTCCTGGCCCTTCTGACGCCGTCGGAAGCCGTTTGGGGGGCCTTTTCGGGCCCTCCTGGAGGACCTCTTGGAGGCCTCTTGGGTCGTCTTGGGCCGTCTTGGAGGCTTCTTGGGCGACCTTGGAGGTATCTTGGATTCCCTTGGGCCGTCTTGAAGGCCTCTTGGGCGATCTTTGGGCGATCTTTGGGGGCTCTTGGGCCGTCTCGGGCCGTCGGAAGGCCGAAAAGAAGGAAA